CTCCACCAGGCACAGGGCAGGCATTTAGCAAGTATCTGCCAAATGAAGGAATGAATGATGATGTCAGGACAAAACCAGGCTGCGACGGGGGGGGGGGCAGGGATGGCTCGGCTCGTCCCTTCATGTCCCCTAAGAAATCACGCCCCTGCTGGGGCACAAGCTGGGTGTCCAACCTCAGCCTCAGCTGCAGAAACCTTGCTCCCGGGTCTGAGCATGTCCAGAAGCAGCCACGGCTGAGGGTCTCCTCGGAGACCCTCTCCTGGTCTGCACGTCTTCAGCCAGGCCACTCCCCAAGCAGGCGAGCTCACTCCCACACAGCCCAGGACGGCGCCTGCGTGCTTGCGTCAGGACCTGGCAGGTGGGGGGTAGGGGGTCTGCACCTCAGCCCAGCCTCTCCTCTCTGTGCTGGGATGACCACACTCCCCACCTCAGCAGGGAGCCCCTCCAGGCCTCTCCATCCCTCTCCTGACGTGCTTTCAGGTGCCTTTTTTTATTTAAACATAATCTTAACAATTATGGGTGCATAAGACTCTCCAAAGCCTGTGCAAAGCATCCCTGTCACCTTTCTGACTGTCTCACGTGGTGACAGCGAGTTCACCTTGAGGCCACCGACCCTGCAGAGAAGGTTCCTTCCTGTGACTCCTCCTCTGGTCCCTGCCTTTCCCCGTCACTTCCCACCCTGACAGTCAGCATGGGGACATCATGCAGTGGAGAGGAAACTGCCCTAAAGAGACAGGAAGCGTCCACGCCAGGGACCTGCCAAGGATGACTCCTGGGACCCTGACCAGTCACTTCACTCTCTGGGTTTAGGTCCCCGCCTAGAAAGCAGAGTTCAGAGCTGCGTGGTCTCTGAGGATCTCACAACATAACTGTTCTATGCCACGGTCTCACTCTCTTACTCAGAAACCTTCCATGACTTCTTCTGGGATAGAGAATAGAAACATCAGGCCAGGCACCCCTGGCTCTTGGCAATCCCAGTCTACCTGTCCAGGGCTGCTCCTCACAACCAGGCCTTGCCTCCAAGCGAGCTAGCCCATCACGACCCCTCCACTCAGCTGTTCCCCCATGTGCTCCCGGCCCTCCTGCCAGGCTGCTCAGGAGAGGGCGCTCCCCAGGACCCCCTCCCACAGTGAGGCCTGCTTTGAGCACCTGCTGGAAGACACTGTCTGCAGTCCCAAACTCTGGCACCAGGGAACCCGCCTAATCTCTACAGATTTTCTCAGGGCCCTGGCTCAACACCCGACAGGGACCACATCCTGTCTACCTGCGCCCACCCACCTCCCACCCCCTGGGTTCTCTGGCCCTGTGCCCCTCACACTCTCAACACTCATGAAATGCTCTGTGAAATACACCCCAGAGGGATGTGCTGTTGCCATTCAGGGCCCCCATCCCCACAAGTAAGCAAGCTAAGCACATCTGCCCCAGAGTGCTCTCCAGCCTCCTATCCAGACATCTTCTTCCAACAACTGAAAACTGACCAGTCCTGGTACCTCGTTTTTCTGGAAGGAGCTACTACACTGGCCATCAGCCCTGTCATTTCCAGGTTAAAATGTCCCAACATTAGAACAAACACGGCTCCTGCGGACACGTCGGGCTGTAGGTGCCCTGGTACATCTGAGACGGAGGCCCTCTCCCTCTTTTAAGGTCAGACTGGCATTCAGGAACTTGAGTTCACACCAAGCCCCCTCCCCTAGGAGCAGAGAACACCCGACATTTCTGTTTTCCAAGCACACATAACAGGAAGGGGGGCATTTTCCCTGGTTGTCCCTCTGTGGACACTATGTCAAGTCACAGACACAGAGCTGAATCAAGCCACAGAAGGTATGTAACTGACCTGGCCTGGCTCATCCCCCTCCCTCCACGTCCAATGTGGACAGGCTCCCAAGACCGTAGGGGAAGGGGCCAGAGGTTTAGCTCAAGTTCCTTTGTCTCCCACTTTCTAGAGCAATGAAATGAAGGAAGCCCAGAACCCCACTGAAGAGACAGAAAGGTGAGAGGCAGCGTGCCCCGGTGTCCCTTCAAGAACAGGTGTGCCCACGTGAGGGTGGGGCCTCCTCGCCAAGAGGGGACCGCAGGGCACTGCTGCAGCCGAGGCACGCGCACGCCCACAGGTCAGCCTGGGAAATCGCGGGAGCCTGATGACATAGAGGATGTCCTGCTCCTCTGACAACAGGAGAACAGAACCAAGAGGTGTCGGGGCTTCCCCAGACGCCCAGAGCTGTCGGGGTAAGTGGGCATAGCACCCTGATGCTGCGAGGGGCACCCCCTGCAGTCTATCCAAAGTGGGTGAGCGTCCACCCCACGTGTCACAGTCGGATGGGGACAGCGGGCAGAGTTCGGGGAAGGAAGACACCTTCCTGAAGGCCCGCTATGCCCTCGGGACGACCCGGAAGGTACTTCCGAGAAAAGCATTCTGGGAGGAGGCCCAGCTCTCAGACACATGGTCTCTTCCTTCCGTGGGGACTGTGCACCCTGAGAAGAGTTTTCATCTTTGACTTCCTTTTCCTTCTGGGAAGGCAGAGGCAACGACCATCTGCTTTCCCTCTGCCGTTAGCTCTTAGGATATAACAAGCGATGACTGCTAAATTCAGGTTGTTGGGAGTTTTTTCCCAAATTAAAAGCCCTGGTTGGCATCTCCAGTGAGACGGAACTACGAGGGCTCGGCAGCCAGCCGTTAACTCCTCAGGAGGCCCGGCCCGCGGGGGTCCCTCCACCTCTGCAGCATGCACAGCCCTGCGATGGCTGAACGTCAGCCTTACTGCTGCAGTTACTGGAGGACGGTCCCCTCCCAGCTGTGCTGCAGACCTTCGGGGCCAAATACAAGGCTACTGACAAGGCCAGCAAGGAGGCCGGCCCGGCTGAGCTGAGTCTGCTGGTCCGGGTGGGGCCCCCCCACCATAACTTCACCCTAAGAGTACCCCACGCACACAGACACACACGCACTGAGACTGTGAGTCTGCACAAGCAGGGACCTGCTGCTGATTCCATAATCGCACCCCGGGCACTGAGGAACACGGGTGAAATGAGCACCAGGACGCCCCCTGCGAGCTTCCTCCTCGTCTCCCGCGGCACCACCACGATGCAGGTGAGGAGACCAGCCTGGGCCAGTCCTTGGAGGTTCACACGAAAAGACAGCCAGCCAGGGCAGTCTCTCCAACCCCGTCCTAAGCAAAGGCTGAACCAGGAACAAGCAGTCGGGACGAACGGTCTCTGCCTTGGCCACGGCAGCACCGGCAGAACCCACTGGGCGGTGCTCAAGGCGGCCCGGGCTCCCAGTCAGCAACCACCTCGAGGACACGCCTCTTCTCCGAATGACACGCCCGCATCCTCACAGCAACAGCACCATCAACACACCTCTCCCTCACTCCTCCCTAAAGCCTAGCATCACGTTTGCAGGAAAACTCATCAGAGACAGAGCCCACCCCTGCATCCAGCCTCCCCCAGGAAGCAGGTGGGCATCGATTTCTGTCTGATGGCGGGAGTGCTTGCCCAGACCCTCCTGGCTACTCAAGCCGCGTCTCGTGTGTGTCCTCGGGGGCCAGGGCTCTGCTCGGGCAGGGACTGTCTAGACAGTATTCATGACCCATCTGTCTGGCAGGCCCAGTGGATGGCAGACTCTATTAGGACTGAAACGGTCTCCCCCCTCCTCCTCCCGTCCACTCTCCCTTTGCAAAGCAGGAACCTGACTCCGAAAATCACTATCACTGTTGCAACTCTCAAAATAGCACTGCCAGACTTTCATTAACATCCATGCTAGACTACTAAATGTTTCAAGAAGTGGGTAAATTTCATCTCAAGTGGGACAGCTCCCTACACACGAAAGCAGTAACAGAATCAAAATGTAAATCTGAGAGGCTGTTTTTATCCACGTAAATTTAGTGTCACAGCGGGAGGAAGTGGAGCCCACCCAAGGTTTACTGAAACTCCCTCCCTCTGTTTATCTGAAAAGGCAACACTGCCTTTCAAGACCTGTGAGATTTTAACTGATCAGAAAGCCATCCGGGAGAAACAAAGGTACAGATCAAGGGGCGGGCAGGTGGGGAGGGGCCCCTGGCAGGATGGTGGGGAGGGGGCGGCATGTGCCCCTCCAAGGCTCACCAAGGCTCACCCCACAGAGTGCCGGGAAGCGGCCACAATGACCCCTGACTCCCCCTCCCCTCATCGAGATTAGATGCCATCTTGGGTCATTTTCACACAAACCTGTAACTCTTACGCCATGGATACTTTTTTCTTTTCTAAGCTGGAAAAGGGGTGGGGAGCTCTGTCGAAAGAACACATGCTGCTGTGCAGAACAGCCTGGTCTGCGGTGAGCAGTCTCTACTACGGCCTTGACTGAGGCAGGCAGAGCCCGCGAGGGGAGCCCCCACCCACCCTGCCTGGGGGCAGCACAACATGCGGCGTGCGCGCCTACCCTACCCGCCCTGCTGCAGCGCTGAAGGCGCGTGGAGGTGCCCCGCGTGCTGACGCCAGCTCCAGCGGGGATTCTGGGGTCTCAGGCTCTCAGCAGGGAAGGCCAGCAGCAGCAGAGGCCCCCACGTCCACTGGGTCCCTCGAGGACCGACCCCCGAGTTGTGCCAACAGCGCACAGTCAGGCCAGAACTCAGCACCCAGTCTGTCAGCAGAGGAGACCCGAAGGAACTCAACAACGCCAGCCGCCCTGGTGTGCTGCGGCTCCTGGGTGACAGTTTAGAATCTACATGAAAGTCCAGGATGAAACCAAGATTATCATCAGCTTTCCATCAATTAAAACCTGTCCTATAGACAAGCGCCCTCGGAGCACTCACGTCTGCGGGCCTAGCGACAACAGACTGGTTTGTCTGGTCTCCACCCCAAACCCTACAAACCGCTGAAAACTGATGAGTAAATCCTTGCCTTACTCAAAACACATCACGGAAAAGACACAAAAAAACAAACACTTAGAGCAAAAACAAAACCACGGCCTGAGTACAGTTCCTCACCCCAAGGTCATCTAGCAGGGTGACCCGCACGCATTACTCCACCTCTCTGGGCACTGTCTCCAGGCTCAGAAGGGCCCTCTGCACCACCAGTCCCGGAGAAAGGAGCCGCGCTGCCGCCCGCCCCGGACAGTGATGACGGCGGGGCTTCTCCCAGCGCCACCTCCCTGCCACTATCCACGGGGCCCCTGCCAGGAAACAAGAACAGGTACTACGGAAGACGAGACCAGGCCAGACCGGGGCAGCTGAAGGAGTCTGACACGTGCTGTGCGGCAGAGAGCAGCACTGTGGCAACACGACGTCTTCTGGGTCTGGTGACAATGCTTGTTGTGGAAGAGAGTATCTTTCTGAGGAAATGCACATGCAAGTAATTTCAGGCAAAGACACACAGGACCCGAAACTTACTCTGAACAGGTTCAGAGGAAATTAAAACATCAATACAGAGACACCGCGATTTCAAGAAGGATTATATTTGTAACTTTATTCTACACATCTAGAGGTCAGCTTTAAAGTCCAAGAAATACTGATGAGAAAGGGAGGCAGGCAGGAAGGGACAGGCTCAGCGCGCAGGAGGGCGGCAGAGGCGGGCGAGGAGAGGAGAGGCCGCCCCTGGGCAGAGGCCAGGGTGCTCCCCTACTTCTCATACAGAGCCTCAGGCCCGTGTGAGCTCGCACGGGGCCCAAGTCTCCCCGGAGTCCGTCTCAGAGGTGCTGCTGCCGCTCAGCCCAGAGAAGACCCGGGACAGACACTGCCCTCACGTGGGTCTCCTCCTTCTGAGACCCCGACTCAGCCTCACTGACTGCGGTGCCAGCAGGACTCCTGCAGCCCTGTACAGGCAAGGGCACCGAGCTGCCGGCAGAGCCATGGCCAGGACCCCGACCCACAGGCAGGCTCCGTGGGAGTGGCTCACTGCAGCCCCTTCTCCCGGGTCCAGGTAGCGTGCTGGGTGAAGGACAACACTGACGACCACCGAGGCCACTGCAGAGGAAACAGGATCTCAACACCAGGAGAGCACACATCTCACCTTAACCGTCTTCTCAAAGAGCAGACACAGCGCCCTACGAACTACGGATGCTCGAGGTGAGGAGGGGCACACTGCTCCAACAGAAAGGCCCGGGGGAACACCGGCACCACTGGACTCCTGAGCTTGGTGAGCCGGGCACTGGTCCCACATAAACGTTTTCTACTTTCTCAGTGTAACTACTTGGTTAATTGTGGACTCCCTACATACCTTTCTTTCCTTATTTAAAAACTTTTGTGTCATTATTTAAAATTACTCTAAAAAGCCCAGGAACCCAGTAAGAAGAATACTGAACCAATATATTATTCCTTGTGATCAATCAGTGCTTCTAAGGCAAGAAGCAGAAAGCCAATTCCAAACACAGTGCAACTGCCATCTCTGAAAGCGGAATGAACCTCCGACTGTCAGACACACCGTCTTCCCGCCCTAAAAGACGACCACGGTCCCCCCGTGAAGATGCAGGGCCTCTCCCACTAACTAACAAGCAGCATCCTTCCCACTCCCCCAGGACCCTGCCTCCTAGCCACCCCCAAACACAGTCAGACATCAGGACGCTGAGGTGCGAGGAGGGACTTACAGCTGAAGATGCCCGGAGGTGGGTGCTCGGTCACCAGGAGACAGTTTTCCTCGTCGCTGTTGTCTCCACAGTCGTTCTGCTGGTTACAGACCAGTGACCCAAGATACAAGCATCTACCACTGGTGCAGGTGAATTTGCACTCTGAAAAAACACAACACAAAGCATGCAGTGGTCAATGAGAGCCCGTGCTCCTGAGCTGCTATGTTCACTTCTCCATTCGTGTGCCGTGATGGCTGGGACTCGGTCTACCTGGAGACCACAAGAAGCCGCGCTCACAAGGGGCTGCCCTCTGTGAAAGGCACAGTTCAGTGCCTGGGGCAGCCGGGGCCTGCGGACACACTCACTCGATGTCTCTAACCCACAGAATGAGTAACACAGGTGCCCTCCTTCCACAGCCTGCCAGCAGAGTCACAGCTTTGAAACTCTTCCTTTGCTTGAAAAACTCCTTGGCAGTTATCCACGCCTGCACGGAGGAGGAGAGCGGGTGCGGCAGCAGCCCGGGCTCCAGCAGGACTCGGGGGCTCAGGCTGGACAAAAGGAGGCTCACACATTTTATTTCCAACTTGTCACAGGATGCTGTGAGGCTCTGGGCAAAACATCTAACCTCTCTGGTGTTCGTTCATCTCATGCCTAAGGACCAGGTTTAATACCAAAGGGACAGCACTGACTTTACGTCATACAAGAAGGAAAAATTGTTTGTGCTCTCTGCTACCTGAGAAGCACCTGTGCCAAGGGCCACGTGAGTGACTTAAAGAACAGGATGGAGCCCAAACCAACTCCCACCGCCGCCAAGGAACAGGGGACCTGAAACCTGCGCAGGTCAGTACTGAAAATGGAATACGCTTTTATAAGACTACATAATAAACGGGGGAGGGTGTAGCTCAGTGGTAGAGTGCCTGCTTAGCATGCACGAGGTCCTGGATTCAATCCCCAGTGCCTGCATTAAAAAAAAATGAATAAAATAAAGATAATAAACCTAATTACCTAACCCCCCCAAAAATAAAAAACTAAGACTTTAAGATAAAGTTGCAATCTTAGCACTGTCAATTTAAACGAAGGAGATGACATAATCACACACACGTGAGCACACAAACATCTGTGCACCTTACACTGCCTGGGAGCCGCTCCTAGGAGCGCCCACAGGACGCCCCACTCAGTGGCCAGATGGCAGGAACACACCTCAGGAGAAGCGCCCCAGGACCCCCACTGACGCTGACCCTCACAGCCTCTTCACTCCTCTTTGATTCCGTTTGGAATGTGCGTGACAGGCCTGAGTCAAGTCTGAGGTCCTTCCCACTCTAACATCCACTGTTCAAATAGTAAAGGGGCAGGCACCAGCACACGGCCCTCCACCAGCTCTGCTAGCGGCACGTGGGGCTGCAGAGGGAGCAGCCCCCAGCCTGGTGTAGACAACGTGCCAGCACCCCCAAGGCACAACCAAAAGCTAGTCCCTGGCTGCACCTCCGAGGTGAAAACTGCCCTGGGCGCAGCCTCGGCCGCGGGGAGCTCCAAGGAGGCCCTACCCCACTCAGGGGCACGCGTTTAAATCCAGCTGTCTGAGATCACATTTATGAAGTGAACTTTTTTTTAACTTAGTGGAAAAAGGAAATGTCAAGGAAAGAATTTATCTTTCTTTCCAAAAGAAATTTTGGAGTCTGCAGTCAAATGCTCTACCCTTGAGCTACAGCCCCTGAAATTTTGGAGTCTGGATTACATGAAAAGGACATTAGCCAAAACCCGGGACCCCCGATTTTGCCGAAACGGTGACCGGAAAGGAGGAGACACTAACTGAGACGGAGTCAAACTCCAAGTAAAAAGCCAGCCGCTGCTGTGGTTTGAAAGGACCTCAGGTTAAACTCCCACGTCCCAGTCGACGTGGAACTTTAAACCAGCCGGGAAATGAAACCACGTCCATACTCTTCTCTACTCGGGTGGTCCAAGGGAGACCCGTCCAAAGTAACAAAATATTTTCAAGGCGACGACCGTGACCCAGTCATGCCTACAACCAATACGGAGGCTGGTGTACGACGAATGCCTGGGGCAAGAAGGGCCCGTGGAGATCAGAGAGCAAGCCCTCTTCATAGTGTGAATCTTCTACATGAGCATGCCTAAGACGCATGGCTTCTTTCAAAGACGCGGTTCCTTCCCCATATTCTCCACACGGACACTGCTGCCTGCGAGTAACGGGCACTTGGTGAGTCACCTACCCGCTGAATAAACGTATGACCTACCCTGAGCCCACAAGAACCCTGTGAAATTATTATTCCCATTTCACAGACGAGGAAAGGCAGACTCATATCAAGTGACCTGCCCATAACTGAACTACTGACAAATGGCAAAAGCCAGGTGCATGTCCAGATCCGCAGCCTCTGGTCTCAGGCTCTCCAGTCGCCGTCTCTCGGCTTCCGGACCTGCTCTCGTGGACCTGTCGTGAGGACCCCACGTGCGCAACAAAGTTCTCGAGCCCGCGTCTCGGGTGGGCTTGCCGTCGCCCAGACGCACCACAGCAGCCTCACGTGCTCAGAGCGCTCTTACTTCCGAGATAATGGAAGTGTCAGTATCACTATCGAAACCTTTTCAGTGGTGAGTCGCCGGCTGGGCATCACTAAAAACCTCTCCCATCTCATGCCACTTGACCCGAAACAAGTGCCCTGAAATTTTGCGTCGGCTTCCTGGTACGCTATCGGGAAAACTGCTATGATGTTATTAAGTGTCACAGATTAATGCTGCAGCTGGAATGAAAAGGTCTGGCCAAGGGTCTGTCCTAGGTAACCTGACTGTATTGACAGAGGCAGGCTTCCAACTCGATCCTGACCCACCATGCAAGACTGTCTCCACCGCACTCTCCATCCAAAAGCCCAGTGTGTTCAGACATCAGGGGTGGTCCTCCAATAACCAGGTTATTGTGACATTTCAAACTGAGACCCCCAGGTGAGAGGCTCTAACCTCGGCCGTGTACGGAATCCCCTGGGCTGACCTTTCACCACCACTGACAGAGCCCCTGCCCAGACCTCTGTGCTCCCTGGCCGGGCGTGTGGCCAGGACAGAGGGGGCCTGGAGAGCCTCAGAATGATGGGACGGGCAGCCCGAGGGGCCCCTGCCTGGTGAGATCAGACCCCTCGCCATGTGAGGCCCTCTCTAGCTAACAGTACTCTACTGGGATGCTTAGTTGGTGTTTGCTAATTTACTTTTTAAAAACCCTAATCTCTTAAAACAGGCAGATATTTTGAAGATTCCTGGATATAGGGCCCAATTGCTACAGCTCTGTACTGTCAACGAGGCATTTCAGAAACCCTGGGACCACAGGAAGGGCTCCTGAACAACATTTTCACACCCAAGAGCCAGAGCGCCCTCCGTGGAGCAAGACGCAAGTCAGAGAAGGAACACAGAAGAATTTTTTTTTAATGTTTTCTGATCATATTTTGTCCATTCTTTGTGAAACTTGTAGAGTATTTCTGCTAAGCCAGAAGCCGAAAGAAATTAAAGACCGTTAAACATCAGAAACACTGGCTACAAATTCAAATTCATGGTTCTTTCAGATGTATAATATTGGAGTAGAATATAGAATTAGAGACTCAGGAGCCAGTTTTTCCTTCAGGAGTTACAGATTTAATTTCAAAATTTGAAATACTTAAGTAATTCCTAAAGTAGATAAATAAATCCTCTTCTCTAAAGTCAGGATTTTTAAAGTGAAGAAAATGGCGTTTCTTTCTGCCGTAATTCTCTATTTGATTTCTTAGTTTTAAAAATCCAGAATCAGCAATAGATTTTAGAATCACTTTGCTCTTAGTGACAAAGAATTTTCTCCCAATTTTGAGTCCTCTGCAGCTTCTCCAAACTCCTCCACAGCCTTCTGATGAATTCAGTGACTGGGAATCGTCATAGATTCATGACACCCTGCTGCCGAGAAGGCCCTGAAGAACGGGGCGACCTCTCCTGTCACAGACGGCAAACAGCCCCAAGGGAATTCCTGACTCACTCAGGACAGACAACAAGCCTCCTGTGAAATGGAACATAAAACCCACGATTTCTACCAATTTGGGGGAAAAAACTTTCTGTCCTAAATGTCATTCTAATTACGTACAAACTAACACTAACCGTCTGGCGTATACCACGTGAAAGAGGAAAAAGGAAAAGAACGATTAAGAGTAAGAATTTCTGTCCTGAACATGCCCCTCCCGGCCTCTCACAGAGAACTTCTTTTCCTTGCAGCACTACGGGCCAGCTGAGGAGCTCTGGAAGTCCTCTGCCTAACTCCTCAACAGAGACCTCAAAACCACGTGACTCACAACCAGGACAGGGTCTTAAATGCGCCCTTCCCAGTGGAACAGTGGCTGATAAAATTCCTACCTTCTGAAATTAACCGCCCCCGTCCTTCTGCTCGCTTCTCCCGAGGGCGCACCAGCAGCCGTGCTCCAGGGGTGGTGGGACTGGCCACCCAGCACCGGGAGCTCCGGGCCTCCTGCTGCTCTTGTCACTTGACCCAGATCTCCAACCGAGCACCTGCTTAGAATCGTCTCCTGTCACAGGCTGGAACCGCCGGCCTGCTTCAGACAGGATGGGCCGCAGACACCCTCCACTCTCAGCTCCAAGGACCTGCTCACCACTGCAGTGGCTGAGCCCACGTCAGGAGACTGGTCGCCAGGGCGGTCACCAGTGACAGCAGTGTGGAAGCACCAGGGCCCGCTCCTGGACGGACGGCACCTCGCTGCAGCCTGATATCCCTGGCTGAAGCGGACCGCTCTGTCCTGTGTGTCCTCAGCAGAGACAGAACCACTGGTCCGGCCTAAACAATCACTCCCACCCTCACCACGCCCCGCCTTCTCCTCTCCAGACCCCAGTCGGTCCCACTGCCCACGTGACCGGAAGGGGCAAACACACTGAGGGGACCCAGAGTCAGGGTCTGATCCTACTTCACAGCACATACGGCAGGTCTTCCCAACACTGCTTCTCAGACAGTCCTGAACCAGCAAGGAAACGGGTCCGGGTAAGAGACAAAGGCAGCAGACGCTGAACTCTTTCAAAACACACACACTCTCTTCATATTCCAGCGTAACAAACCACCCTGTTTAGAAATGTACCCCTTCCCACCCACGTCCAAGACTCCCTATCTACGTTTCTTGCTTTATCTTTCCTGTAAC